CCTACCCCCCCCCCCCCCCCCCCCCCCCCCCCCCACCACCCCCCTATCAAAACTGAAGAATTAGATGCTTTTTTTATTTTTTTTTTTTTTTTTTTTTTCGCAGCCCAGTAATAGTCACGTGATAATTTGCTACAAAAATCTACTATTTTAAGATCCAATTTCCCCGTATCATTTGTTAATATTCTAATATAATGTGGAAAGGTTGATGATGTATTTTGGTTGATCAAATAGATTTTAATCTCTACTCTATTTTATTGTAGCTTACTGCTTTAGTCCCACATATTTATCGTTCGATATGGTTTCGAGTAATTGAATTTTGGGGAAGGGCCCCGGCTGTGCCCGGCTAGGCCCTGGGAGTATGGAAAGGTTAAGACCGTCACACACAGACTACTACATAAATTTAAGCGTTTAGAAAAAATTTAAATCATAAAAAAAACTTATTTTTTTTCGATTATAAACGTTTTATAAAAAATCAAAATTTATAAACTTGAGATTTTTTACTCGAATATTTAAGCTTCTTTATCTTAATGCGAACTTAATTAATTTATATAGGATGTTTAACAACGATATTTTAGCTGTTATTGCATCTGTTTGCTTCCAGAATATGATTACGATGAGAAATTTAGATAAACGATAACGAATAAATGGAGAACGTGAACGATGACGTCATTGACCGCTGACCAAGAATTTTTCGCGATAATTACCAAGTCCGAATGGGTGCCGAAACAAGGTTTTATGTCGTTCGGAAATATGTCGATCGAGTTGCTAGAGAACTTACCACCCTTCGGCCCCATGTTCGGCTCTCGGGGTCCACATCTGAGATCTGTATATCAAGATCATCAACCCCTGGAACATCTCCGCCTGAAAGCGTCTAAGTAAGGATCCAGTTTGTTAGTCAAGCCATGTTCTCTGATGATCTATGCTCGTCAGGATTTTGGTGGATGGTGATTTGGGTTACTTAGATACACCTATTTCAAGAAACGCTGTCATCGACAAAGGCGATAGGCGACAGGCGATAGGCGAAAAGCGATAGGAGATTCAAGAATAGCTGGAATGGCTTGTGTTTCTGCTCCTTATTCTCGTCAAGAACATGGACCTTAGTGTTGAGACTGATTCAATGTTCTTTGTATTCAACGAAACCATTTCCATGTCGGAATGACCTATCGCCTATCGCCTTTGGCGATGACAACGTTTATTGAAATAAGTGTATACTTACCATGAACTTTGGACTATAATATCTATGTTCAATCTACATGGTCTAAGGACCAGTATTACCCACGTTTAGAAAAGGGATATAGAGAGAAAGAGAGATGGAGATATAGAAGAGTGGACTCAAGAAAAAGAAAGAGAGATGGAGAGATAGAAGAGTGAGAAGAAAGCGAGAAGGAAGGAAGAGAAAGAAAGAAATGAGTGGGAGAACGAACAAACGAATGAATGGAATGTGTGAGTGAAGAATACACACAAAGTGAAAGAAAGACTGTTATTTTAGCTGAAGACCAAAAACTTCAAAACAGAACACACACACACAATAAGTAAAAAATCCGAGAAAAAGTAGAAACGAATGATTAACCACACTTCATTATCACCGAAAACTTATACGCTTTGTACTTATATCCTTTCTTATCTAAAGAGTACAGTTAAACTTTACAATGATACCATGCAAACGAAAACAGGACAAGACAGATTATCTGACAGAATAAACTGTTAATTCAAGCAGTTATTTAAAGCGTGTTCGTAAAGTAGCTGAGTTGTAGAGTGGATTTAATCTTACTTAAAGAGAGCTGAGTTATTAGTACTTATTGATTTATTAGAGATTATTACTTTTATTATCTATCTGTGAGTAAGGCCTTATTGTCTTTCGGTGGGGGGGATGGGAGGGATTTAGTGGGATAAGCAGCCTAAGCATCGTAAGTAAAGGACCTCATGCCAAATCCTCTTGCTTGTTATTTACAACAACAAAAAGGCAGAGATAAGACTAAAAGACCATGCAAAACATCAACGTCAAAACAATCAAATCCTTTCCACATTATAATTAGGACGCTACAGTAAACGTAAAACACATGACACTATATTATACAGCTAGAAGTTAAAGACTACTAGAATGCTGGAATAAGGTTTTGGTGGAAGGCAATCAAGGCGTTTCCATGACATACCATAGGCACGCGCCCTTGAAAATTTATCGAAACACTTTGATGTTCACCAAGACCTTATTTTAAAATTGTACGATTTTGAGCTTTCCATTCCCCATGTTAATCTGATAATGATACCACAGAGTGGCTCTTCTTCCACTGTAATTCCAATTGGAATTTAGATGTTGATTTTTACGGAGGGAGGAAAGCCAGAGAACCCGGAAAACCCTC